AACCCTGGCTTCGTCAATAAGATCTAACTCAGCGGTGAGCAGTTTACTATTTTCTTGTTCATTCTGCTTAATAGCATTCATTCTTCTCCAAGAGGGTTCTCCAATCTCCATCGGAATCATGGCTTCACATCCATATGTCAATCTGAAAGGGGTTTCCCCCGTTGCTGTCTTGGTACTCATTCGATATGCCCACAAAACAAAATATAATTGATGGATCCAACTTTCTTTGGCTTCCATCATTCGTTTCTTGAGCCCATCAACAATTACCTTGTTTGCACCTTCAGTTTTCCCATTTGACTGTGGGTGTTCCACAATTGCAAGCGGTGTTTGACCTTCAGGTCTTTCATCAACTCCTGAAACTGTTTATTAGCAAACTGTATTCCATTATCAGTCACTACCTCGGCTGGTATTCCAAACCTGGAGACGATGTTCCTTTCGAAGAACCTTTGTACCCTGGTCGAGGTTATTGTGGTAACCGGTTCTGCTTCTATCCACTTGGTGAAGTAATCTACGGCAACAATTAGCCACTTCAACTGTCCCTCTGCAGCTTTGAAGGGTCCCAGCAAATTCATCACCCATTTGGAAAAGGGCCATGGATCCGAGATGTATTTCAATTCCTCTAGTGGTGAAAGAATCAGTCTGGCATACTTCTGACAACTGTCGCATCTTTTGACATGTTCTTTGGAATCTGCTTCCATAGTCGGCCAGAAATAGCCAGCTCGGAGGGTCCTTCTAGCCAAAGCTTTTCCCCCCATATGGTGGCCATTGATTCCTTCGTGTATCTCGGCCAGCACATAATCTACTTCTTCCGCGTTTAAGCATTTTAGCATAGGGATGTACAATCCCTTTCTATATAGCTGATCTTCCACTATTGCATATTGTGTTGCATCTCGGATCAGCTTCCTGGACTCCAATGAGTCCTCAGGCAATGTCTCTTTCTTAAGGTATGCCACTATGGGTTGCCTCCAGTCATTTGTCGAGGAGATTATCATCACGCAACTCAGCTCTGTTCTTCTCTGCTGTACCACGGTTCTGTGGTTTCCTGGATTTTTTGTACTTGCCAATTTAGATAAGATGTGAGCTCGACTGTTTTCCCCTCGAGGAATATGAGTGACTTTCACCTCTTCAAACTCGGCCATCATTTCTCGGACCTTGTTTAGGTATTTCATCAGCAGAGGGCCTTTGGCCTGATATTTTCCTTCTATCTGAGAAGTCACCAACTGGGAGTCACTGAAGACTTTAACCCTTTTAGCCTCATGTTCCTTAGCCTGCATCAACCCGGTTATTAGGGCTTCGTATTCTTCTTGGTTGTTGGAAGTTGAGAAACCCAGGTTCAAGGAGTGTTCTATTGCCACCCCTTCTGGACTTTCAAGTATGATCCCAGCTCCACTTCCTTTATCATTAGAGGATCCATCTACATATACCCTCCAAGTATCTTCAGCTTCTCCCATTTCTGGGTTAACCGGGGTGAGCTCCATTATGAAGTCGGCCAAAGCTTGTGATTTGATGGCCTTCCGACTTTCATACGTTATGTCGTATTCAGACAGTTCAATTGCCCAGTTAGTCATTCTTCCTGCCAGATCCAGCTTAAGCAACACCTGCTATATAGGTTGATTGGTGCGGACTATTATCTGGTGTCCCTGAAAATATGGCTGTAATCTTCTCGCAGTAATCAGCAAGGCAAAAGCTACTTTTTCCAGCTTCTAGTATCTCAATTTAGGACCCTGCAGGGCCCTACTGACGAAGTAAATCAGCTCTTGACCTTTGCTAGTTTCCTTGATCAGGACAACACTTATTGCCACTTCCCCCACAGCCAGGTACAGGATCAGAGTATCTTCTGGTTCTGGCTTAGACAGCACTGGTGGGGTCGCCAAGCATTTCTTGACCTTGCCGAACGCAGATTGACATTCCGGGTTCCAGCCTTGCACAGCTTCTTTCTTTAGTAATTTGAAGAATGGGAGGGCATTCTTAGCTCACTTGGGTAAGAACCGGGTTAGTGCCGCCAGCCTACCAGTCAATTGTTGAACCTCCTTCTTGCTTTGAGGAGCTTTCATATCAAGCATTGCCTTGCACTTGTCAGAGTTGGCTTCAATTTTTCTATAGGTTAGCATGAAACCCAAAAATTTCCCTACTGGAAGTCCAAATGCACATTTTACCGGGTTCAACCGAATGCGGAATTTCCTCAACTTTTGGAATGTCTGCTCTAGATCTCGGACATGATTCGTCATATCGAATGACTTAACGATCATATCCTCAATGTACACTTCTACATTCTTGCCCAATTAATCCTCGAACACTTTGTTCATCATTCTCTGGTACGTAGCCCCAAAGTTTTTGAGCCAAAATGGCATCACATTGTAGCAGTAATTGGCCTTTTCAGCAATAAAGGGAGTTTTTTCAGGATACACAGGGATTTGGTTATAACCCGAATAAGCATCCATAAAGGATAGCAATTGGAATCCAGCTGAGTTATCCACCAGCTGGTCTATGTTAGGCTATAGGATAAGAATCCTTTGGGTACACCTTATTCAGATCTATGTAATCAGTACAGACTCTCCATTTGCCATTAGGTTTTTTCACCACAACAACATTTGCAATCCAGGTTGTATATTGTATTTCACGAATGAAACCAGCATCCAATAACTGCTTAACATGTTCCTCCAGAACTTGTTTTCTTTCTGCCCCAGCTTCCTTTTCTTCTGTGAAACTGGTACTGATCCTGGGTAAACTGCCAACTTGGGGCAGCAAAAGGTTGGATCTATGCCGGGAATCTCTGATGATTTCCATGCAAAGACATCCGTGTTATTTTTGAGAAACCCGGCTAACTCTTCCTTGATGTGGGGATCTATGGTCTTACCAATTCGGGTAAATTGACCTGGTTCTTTTCCCATCACAAGGTCTTCTAGTTCCCCATCTGGTTCTAGCCTGGGGATCACTTCTTCTTTCATATCCAGCTCAACCACATTGACGGGTTTTCCTGAATGATGAGGGATTGCCTTCTTGCCGGCTTTATCCCCTGGACGTATCTGGGGTGGACTCAAGTGTCCACCTTCATTTCCTTTGACTGTTTCAAAGTAGCATTCCCTGGATTCTTTTTTATCGCCACTGATGGTAATGATCTCATTCTTGCTACTTACCATCTTTATCTTTTGATGCTTTGTGGAGACCAGCATATCCCATTTGTGTATAGTTGGTCTTCCCAGAATGATATTGTATTCTGACGAGAAATCAGCCACTATGAATCTTACTCGTTCTGATTTGAACGCTTTCTTTGTTCCCAGGGTTAACCTGAGATCTATATAGTCTTTAGGAGGTGTATTTTCTCCGTTAAAAGCTATCAAGGTTGTCTTGCAGGGTTTGAGGTCCTTCTCATCAAGATTCATTTTTTTGAAGGCACCCCAAAGTATAATGTCGGCACTGCTTCCTGCGTCTATGAAGATCTTTTTAACCCGGCAGTTCAACAGGGTTCCAGTGACGACCAGACCATCTACGTGCCCTGGTACAACACCTTGCATATCTTCGTTTGTGAAATAGAGCAGAGGAAGGTCTGGTTTACGGGGGTCTTCCTTAAATTTAGGACAATCCCGGATCGACAACACTTCTTTTAGGTACTTTCGCCTAGCACTTACAATGTCTCCTCCTCCTCCAAGAGCTCCACTGATCACATTACAATCGAATTTGGCTTTCGGGAATTTATCGTTATTGGAATCATCTTTCTGGTTCCTTTCCTCTTTCTTTTTCTTCTCAGGGACCAGACTGTTGCTCCTCTTCCGATTTCCAGGCTTTCTTTTGTTGTTTTTGGCACCCTGAGTTTTGATCACATTCTGGCGTAGTTTTCCTTCTCTAACAAATTTCTCTACAGCATCTCGGAGATCCCAGCATTGATCGGTGTTGTGACCCGGTCCATCATGGAAGGCGCAGTATTTGGACTTATCCAAACTTCCTCTATCGAATATAGGCCGAGGTCTATCTACTTTCTTCATCTCCGTCATTGCCACTTCCCTCCAAATTTGAGAGCGTGATGCATTCAACGTGTATACTTCTCACATCTTCCAACCTGGTCTCTATCATCCAGGATCCTTCTTCTGAAGTCTTTCTTTTTATTGTCGGATCGATCCTTTTCTCTTAGGGCTGGGCTCCTCCTTCTTGAACTTGCTCTTTTACCCTCCTCTGATAGCGTGTTTGCTATCTCCATTTGTTCGAGTTCCAAGTATTTCTTAGAACGAGTTCTAAACTCCTCCAACGTCCTAACAGGGTCTTTGTAGATCGACTTGGCTAGTCTCGATGATCCATCCAAGCCAGCCACAATAAGGTGGACGTGGACATTCTCTTATAAACCCGGCACCTGCAAGGCAGCATCTTTAAACCTGTTAAGACACCTCTGGAGAGTTTCTCCGGGTTGTTGTCGTATCTTGCCAAGTGTGAACTCGGACTTTGGATGCTTTTTGCTGGTTGCAAAATTCAGAAGGAATTTCTCTCCAAACTCCTCGAAGGAACCAATAGAGTTGGCAGGTAGGGTTGAGAACCATGCCTGCGCTGCCCCAGTCAGAGTTATGGAAAATATCCAAGATATGAGGGGTTCATCAATTCCTCGGATATACATGTCCGTATCAAACGCATCTATGTGGACCTGTGGATCCTGACTTCCATCATATTTCGGCAAGCGTTGCCGAATTAAAATTCTTTGGGAAATGAGCGTTCAATATTTCACTAGTGAAGGGGCTATTATTATGCTGCCCCCTACTGTATTTCCTCCTGTAACCACCAGGTTCCATGCGTCCTCTGGTGGAATGAGCATTTTGGTTAGGGTGTATACCATCCCGGTTTCTCTGCCCATTTGCTCCTGCCGAAGCATTCTGGGTCAAAGTTTGCGCATTAGCATTATGTTCCCCCATATCGATGTTCTCTGGGTTTAGATCCAACGTTCTCCCAAGATTGGGCCTTATATAGTTTATCGGGATTGTAGCCGATGTAACTCCAAGATTGGCCATTCCTTGGTTTTCTACCTCAGTAACTCGGTTTTGACGATCCGGGTTGTGGTTTCCTTCTCGGCCATTAGCATCTCTGCCTGGGGCCTCTCTCACTCCATACCCTGCCATCCCCATCAAGCGCTGCTCCAACTCCTGCATCATCCTATTATTTTGTTCCTGCATTCTCTAAAAATCTTGCAACTGGAGGTTGTTACGATTCTCCATCCCCTCCATTCGCCGCAAAACTGCAGCAACTGCGTTTTGAGCAAGTCTGGAATTTGGATCCGCAGGTTAGGCAACACGGGAAGCAGCAGTATCCCCAAGATGTTGGGGAGGATTATTCAGAGCTAGAGCCGCAACTCGATCACCGGGTGCTGGGGTGGAGGCTGTGTCTGACACATCCTCACTGACATGAACATGATCATAATCTATTTCATTCTCAGGCTGGTTTTGAGGTTGATTCACCTCTTCCAAGACTGGATCCAGCGGCTGATTTTGAGGGTATGGCTATTACTCCTTGTTCGGACTACCATCTTCAGTTAGAATGGTGGGAATATCAAATTCAAAGAGAATTCCTCATAGACGGCGCCAATGTTCTGTCTAGGAGACAGAGATGTCCAGTCCAATAAGCTAGTATGTTGATCTTGGATCTGGTGCCCTCTCCAAGATATCTATGAATGAGATATCCTTGAGTCAAGCAGATCACTGTGCACAACGAATTAATAACGGCTTTTGTCAATGGGGTGTATGTGCGCACACAGTGACAACATAACAGTAAGAGAGAGTGTGTCTCGTACCTTTAGAGTTTACCTTTTGTTTATAGAGGTTACCTGTGTGTAGTATGATGTGGGCCTTTAGTACTTCTGATGAGAGCCCATGCCTGTCTGATACGCTGTCGCATTAGGATTAGTATCCTTGATGGATACTATCCGCAATTATACTTGATTTCAATCTTGGATCGCCCATTATTGGGCCTGTCATTCAATGGACCCCTTATATGGGTCCATAACAGTTATGATTTAATAGCCGGAGAAAAAGTTATCTCAAGCAGCTTGAGAAACAATAAGCCCTATATATATATATATATATATATATATATATATGAAGATCTTTTGATTTTAATGTAAGTTAAGAAGTCTTACTCTCCATTTTAACTTTTGGTTTTTATTTATTTGATAATTATAGTTTATTGAATTATATTTATTAATTACAAAAAAATTGCAACCATCATATATGCAAAAATCAACAGCCAAAATAAGGAGTAAAATTTCTTCTGTTTACACACATTTCACTCATTATTTAACAAGAGACTTAGAAACACTAAGTAATATACAATGATTATCTTTTTTACTACTTATATTATTTGCTCAATGATTATTATTTTATCCGTTTAGTTTTTTTTTTTTTTTTTTGAGTTATCCAACCCTAATTACCTCTTTGAGGCGAGTTGGCTCCCTCCGGTATCCCCACAAGCTTCGACTCTTTGAGCCGGCTATGAGACTAATCTGGAGTGCGGGGGTCAGTGATGGCTAAAGGTTCAACCCCCTCCCCAAGAATGCATTCAGCGGGAATCGAACACATGTCCAACCCCACTAACTCAGCGCCAAGGAACCAACTGAGCTGCACCCATTGGGTATCCGTTTAGTTTTAAGAATATTAATTTTTACACATTAATCTGGTTAAATCTCAATAAGAGCCTTATAAATGTTAGGCAAATTAAGATTCACGCTTGACAAAATAAGTTTAGGCCTCTCTAGACCAATCTTTACCGATTTCCACCCCTGATTATGACTCGTAAAAAAGAATAAGCAAATGTAACACAGTTTATACCTTAAGACCGTGAGATAAAGGGAGTGTTGCGGACACTGCTGACAACTTTCTTGTCAATTTGCCAATTGATTCTTGATTTCTTCTCTCCAATTTTGCCCATTCACTAAGAAGGGAGAGTTGTCGATTCATTATATGATAAAGCTTTATCATATGTTTGACTTTTTGCATTTGTATTCTCCTTTGTATTATTATCTTTCTTAGCATGAGGATTGTAAGCCATACAGAAAACGTTTGTATCTGAAATTGAAAAAAAAAACAAACAAACAAACAAACGCAAATAGAGAAGTTAGGTATCAAGAAAAAAAAATAACAACTCCTTGCTATTGTTTAGACATCATTTTAACTGGCACGTGTCCACATATATATAGAGAGAGAATTAAGAGGAAATGTATAGAATAACTAGGGGAACAACATTATGGAAATAAAAAACAGATGGGTCAACATATAAAAAAAGCTGAGTCAATATAACAAGGGTGCACAAGGGAAGTATGTTACACTTATAAATTAAGAGGAATATTACTCAAAAATTATATGAGAGAAAATTTTTCTGATGCATTCACAAATTAAAGGTAGAATCTACTTTATATTTTTTTTTCTCTTCTCTCTTCTTTAATCTGTAACTGTATGATAAATTTTTTTTCTCATTTAACATGAGAGTAATATTTCTCATAAATTAATTATATTTCGAAAAGGATAATACTATACGAAAATCACAATAAAAAAATTGAAAAGAGATAACATCTATGTAAAAAAAAATATATTACATGTGAACTTGCACAGAAAAAAATTGATACAAGGTTGTACGAATTCAACTGTAAACCTAACAGTACAATTTTTTATGAATAAAGTGTAGCTTATAAAGTATTATCTATTTTAAAATGAGATAATAACCATTTCTCTTCTAGACGATAAAGAGGCCCAAATCGTATCAGACACTAAAAAATGATAGGGTATAACCAATTTCTCTTTGAGACGATAAACAGGCCAACAGGCCCAAATAATTTTGGACACTGAGATATCAGGTTGAAACAAGTAGTTAGCATTTGCCCAAATTAAACGGGGGAAAAAAATGCTTAAATCATCTTACATTTTATATTTTAAAAATAAAATACCTCTAATTTCATCCCAATTATTTCTTAATTCTTAATCTTAAACTTTAATTTCATTCTAATTAATTTCGTCCCAATTAATTCACCAACATTGAAAAAATTCTGAATGTTAATCTTTATTAAATCTCATGTCATGGATTAAAATTTAATTTTATCTCATAATTTTAATTTGTTAAAGAAAACAAAAGTGAGATAGAACAAGTTCCATGTCTCTTGTTTCTTCTTCGAGGTGAACCTAGCTAGATGCCTAAATGTGAAATGCGTATTATTTGATTAATAGGTTTGTAACTATCTATGGGATTAATGTTTCTCACATTGTAGGAAATACAATTATTTTTACATACACAAAAAAATATATGAAGCCCATTTGGGGCCATGTAAAAAGAAGAAAGAAGAAAAAAAAATGAGCCACACACGCTTTTATGTATATATAGGAGATAAAACTATCTGCTCCTAGAATATATAAGAAACAATAATCCCTATTTGTATATAGGGAAAAGAAATTTTATGTTACATGAGATTTCTAATCTCATGTCATAGAAACAATAAGTGTGTGACCCATCTATTTTAAAAAAACAAAAACAGAAAAAAGAGTGGCACACCTTTTGATGGTGTCTGTAGGACGAGTTTTTTTTCTCCTAGTAGGCTACTACGTAAGAAAAACAAACCCCTTTATATATATACTATTATTCCACTTAGAAAAATCACACGTTGTAATTAAAAATTTGGATATGGTTAACAAAATGTGAAATTTTTTTAGTACAATAATCATTTTCCTTTAAAATTTGCTTGTATCTAACGGTTCACATATTTCATAAATTTGAACCATTAGATATAAATAAGATCAATAAATAAGATTGAGAATGTAACTTACATCAGTATAAAATGATCCTGCACACACACACAGATATATATATATATATATATATATATATATATATATAGAGAGAGAGAGAGGTAGGATCCTTTGATACCAGTGTCAAATTTGAAATTTGACACCTCATCTGAGAGCCGTTAGATCAAAAAAGATCAATGGTGTCACATGCTTACAGATGAGGTGTCAAACTTCAAATTTGACACTGGTGTCAAAGGATCCTGCCTCATATATATATATGGGGAGGGATATTTTAACTCTAGTGTAAAACTTACAAGTCTTACTCTCTATCTCAACCATTGATTTCCGTCCATCTAACGGTTATTATTTATTCGAAACTAATAATTAATAATTGATATATATAACCGTTAGATGGCAATCAATAGTTGTGATAAGGTCTTACTCAAGAATCAAAAATCTCTCCCATATATATATATATATATATATATATATATATATATATATATATATATATATAGTCTTTTGACACCGGTATCAAATTTGAAATTTGACACCTCGTCTGAGAGCCATTAGATAAAAAAAGATCAACGTCTTTGATTTGTAAGCATATGTCACCATTGATCTTTTTTCATCTAATTGCTCTCAGATGAGGTGTCAAATTTCAAATTTGATACTGGTGTTAAAGGATCTTGCCTCGTGTATATATATATATATATATATATATATATATATATATATATATATATATATGTGCGTAGATCCTTTGATACGAGTGTCAAACTTTGAAATTTGACACCAAATCCTAACCGTTGATTTTCACCAATCAATAATTATCATTTCCGTCAATTAAATTTATTAATTAATTATTAATTTTCAATAAATGAGAAGTGTTAATCAATGAAAATTAACAGCTAGAATTTTGTATCAAATTTTAAAGTTTGACACCATTTGTCAACGTATATATAGAAAAAAAACATACCTCGGCTATATTCTCGACGTTAGCCATCGCAACCTCAGCTCTAGCATTAATAAATCTCCATTGCATAAGTCTGTTATGCAAAATCTTAAATCGATGGTATTCTTCTTCTTGTATGGACGACACTTTCTTTTGCTTGAAGTATTTCAAGACTTTAGCTACTCCGCCGCCACCACTACCTCGATTGGCTTTAACCGGCGACTTGGACCCAATTGGAGAGCCGAGGGATCCCCTTCCCGGCGATAGTGCCCATGCCGAAGGCAACTTCATGGTTGATGTTACCCTCTTTGAAGCTCCATTAATATCAGGGCTAACACCACGCTGTAAGAACTTACCAAAACCATCTCTACTCTTCTTCTCTTGGGAGTTTATGTTCCCTTCGTTGTTTTGGGTTCTTTCTTTCAATGTTGATTTTGAACGGTTGCCATTAATGGATCTTTCACTAGTGCTGAACCTCCGGGAGCTTCTATCTGGGGTGGTTATAGCCGCCGGGTTGCTTCCACTTCTGCTGCGAACAAGCTGGGGTGACGGCGGCGCCACCATGAGTTGACTTCGGCCGGAAAAAGTGAGACCAGTTTTTTCCATGGATGATTTTGTGTATAGATTTTTGAGACTATTTTGGGATTCAATATATATATAGAGAGTGAGAGGGGTTAGAAGTTGAAAGCACGTTGTGTAGCAAGAAAGTTGAATACATGCCCCCACGACATGCAAAAATGTTTGCACGTATATGTGGGAAGTTCAAAAGGTCTTGTCTCGTCTTATTACATGATGAGCAGTAATGATAAATAAACACCCACTTGCTTATTTTTTACGGGAATACTTTTCTCCTTTAATAGGAGAGAAGAGTTGTCTCCTACTGAGACAAAAAGTGAGACCAACAATTTAAAAAAAAAGTAAAAACAAAAATAAAAGCTTGGCACAAAAGTCGATGTATGTGTAGGAATAAAATCTTGTCTCATGTGAAAGAAGAAAAATATTTTCCTATTTTTTAATGCAATGATTTCAAGACTAATTTTTCGAAAGATTTTAAATAATATAAAGTACGCATATGCATAAATAAATTTTATTCCCTATTACAAAATATAGTGGTTGACTTTCTATCAAATTGTTTTTATTTTTTTTTCTTTTATCCACTATTGACTATTTGATTGAATTCTATCGAAACCAATATTATTAAGATCGAGATACTACGTGGGATCGGGAGGGGTGGTAGAGATATTAAATCATTGGAACGACACAGATTGTAAGATCCTACTACTTAAGATATAAAATTATAATTAATATTATTTATATAATAACAAATATATAATATTTAAATCAGTATTAAATTAAATTAAAAATGTCAAACTATTAATACTTAATTTATTTAACAATTAATATTTATTAATTGTATAAAAAAATTAATTTGTTAATTCAAATAAAAAATAAAAAAGAGTGAAAGTAAAATTATAAATTTAACTGAAAACAAAATGTAAATTTAAATAATAATAAAGAATAGCAAGGATAAGATTATAAACGTTTGGACAATGAATATGTGCAATGTTCATTTCCTCTATATGTTTCTAACTTTATGGGCTTATTGAAAAGATGATTCTCTCTCTTACTCCCTTCCTTCCATGGTCGAAAAGTAGTTGCCTTTTTGTGGAGTTGATCTTCAACATTTTTAACTCTTTTCCTCGTCTCTCTCTCTCTCTGGGTATTTTTGCAATATATATGAAGTTGAAAGATTGCATGCAAGCAGCAGATAAGGTTAATTGTAGAAGAGGATTTAGGTTTTTTTGAGTTTTTTCTTTTGGTTCAAAATTTGATGTGATCGATCGATTGCACGATCCCATGAGTTGCACGGCGATCCTAGTGTTCCTACATTTAGCCTGATCTCACTTGTGATTCAACTCAAAACTAGTGGGAAAATCGTAGGATCGAACGATCCTACGATTAATTAAATCCCGATTTTAACAACACTGATCGAAACCATTCTTCATTTTGAAGCTTCCAACTCAAGATACATAATTGCAAGAAACAAGTATTAGAATGTATAAAAGTATCTCATAATATCTTAATTATATCTTAGAATATTTTACAGTATAATTAGATTATCTCTTAGTAATATGTTTCCTTACTTACGGTGTCTCTTCACTATTAAAAAAATAGGTATTAGGGACAAAAATTTTCCGTCCCTATAAGGCCTAAATTCGTCCCTAAAGAAATTAGGGACAAAATTTGAGACAAAAAAAAATTCGTCCCTAAATAGCTCCTTCCATCCCTATTAGGGACGGAATAAAATCCGTTCCTAATATATATTTTCCGTCTCTAATATTGTCAACGATTTTGATTTGTGGAAGGTTATAATTTGTCCTTAATAGGGACAAAAAAAATTCTTTCACTAATTGGGACAGACAAATTTTGTCCCTATTAGGGAAGGAATTTGTCCATCCCTAATACGGTTAGGGACAAAATTTGTCTGTCCTTATTTCCATCCTTACTCTTAAAATTTCTTAATATATTCAATAAAATATTTTAAATTTTTTGTAACAAAATTAATATCTGATAATTGTCATAATATAAATCATCAAAGTCATATAACCAATGAAAGTTAGTCTGAAAGTTACAATAATTATAAGAGTACAATACCCATTTCGATCCTCAGCAAATTTTACGATGCCCGCTTTAGTCCCTGGCAAATAAAAATGCTATTCGTGATCCCTAAAATATTCAAAGTGGACCCATTTTAGTCCTTTTGAGGGACTAATGTGGGTCTTTTTAGAATTTGTGAGGGACCACGATTTCAACTAAATGGGTCCATTTTGAATTTATTAGGGACCACGAATAACCTTTTTATTTACTAGGGACTAAAGTGGGCATCGTAAAATTTGCTGAGGACCAAAAAGGGTATTTACTCTAATTGTAATCATATAAACCATCATAATCATAACAATATAAGCTGGGAAGAAATCTTATCGATCAAAAGTATTACAAAAAAAATAAATAACAAATGTCTCAAGTAACAGTGTCAACTAACAAGTCCTGTTCACAAATTGTATAAAATAAAGAACACACAAGGTCTATCAACCAGCACCTCTATCATGAGTTGTCCTAAATCTTTCTAGCTTGCAAATTCTGTTGAACCATAGGTTTTGGAGACTGTGCATTTAAATTTTTAATGATTACAAAGCACCAACAAGCTCAACATGGATGCACAACTTTGAAGGCAGTGTAATAAGTCCCAAATGGCACTAGAAGACCAAGGAAACAGTGGGCTGACTAGCCTCGCCAGTGTGATGACTAGCCCCACTTTCCCCCTACTAGGGAGTAATAGATGGCGTAGGTGTAGGAGTCATTGTAGCCGTGTGAGGAGGAGAATCAACCTTCCTATGAGTAGCTCTCTCAGCCCTCATCTCAGTCATGAAATTTTGTATCTGATCCTGATTATCTTTCATCGGGTTCTCAGTCATAGTTCTATTTGCAGCCATGTCCGTCTGCAGAGCATTTAACACTGTAGAAACCGAATTAGGCAGTGGTGGATCTGTACCTTGTGCTACACGGCCGCCACAAAGTCTCCTCATGATAACTGTATATGTAACACAAAGGAATGAGCTGATCAGACCCATACTGAGGAATCGCATATATAATAATCATCAAAAGTCTACAGACAGCTATACAACACAAAACACAGTCATACATAAGTAGAGTTCCCTAGTAAACTGCTTTGATACCATAAAATGTAACAACCCATTACGTACCAGTATTGTTAACATTGATTATGATATTAAGCGTAGTTACAATCATATTAGTTTATTTAAAAATATGAGTAAATTTTTTCCTTTTCATTACGTAAGAATTTGAAAATAATATAAAACATAATGATATATATTGTGATCATAATTGAACACTATAAGAGGAATTAACATTACACATGCTTAACTATCATGCAATATTTAGTTTAAGTTGCTAAGAGATTTCTATAAACCAACTTAGCCTAAAACTCACTTTTACATTTTTTTCTAATTCTGAGTACGCTTCTATTTTTCACTACTGAGCGTGCTCTACTCATTATTAATTTTCCATATTTTAGTATGTTAAACTAGACTCAATTACATTTCCAACAAGGTATCACACGCCTCAATTAGAGTTCTCTTGCTCCAGTTATCACAGTTTGAAGTTGGACAAGCAAAGCTGCCAGCCAACTCCAAACAGAGCACCAAACCTCCCTCACCATTTCTGCGACTCTGGACGATTTACTAAACCAATTTCTCTCAAATTTTTATACATAATACTAGACACATTGAGATTTAATTTCATGTATCATAAACCTAATTTGAGTAATAATTGAGGGATAAACATATTTTGGAAACAGGGGACCCGAACAACCCCTGCACATGACCAGTTTGGGCAGTCCGTGTTCATTTCTTCCTATAAAATGCTATACAACTCTAATGGACCAAATTTTGACACAACATAACTGACATCTCAACCTTCAAAATGGTTTAAGGAATGTCCCAATTAGACCTCTGTGGAGGGAGATATGTACTCCCAAAGTTGATCTAAAAACTGATCATTTCTTAGAAAATTCAACGACATCTTCTTTGTTTTATTAACTAATCCCACTTTATCAAAATGTGTTCTAATTCCTCAAAATGTACCTAATTGGCAAGGGTGGCACACAAGGATCAACAAACCTTGGCGCTCTTATAACCCACAACATATTTACATTATTCTTCATTTCATTTATCAATCCATTACTTAAGTCCATCTATAATTATTACTCATTTCAATCACAAAATTCCATTTCATGCATTCACAACATTTGAAAATATAATCATAACCTAGAATAGGCCTATTTCCCTTCTATCACATACATGCTTCATGAATTACACAAGGTCCGTAATTCTTTAAATTTCAATTCTCCAACTATCAAATATAACTACAAATAAAGTTCTCCAAACACATCAATAAGTATACAACACTAGACTTAGCCAAAATAAAACATGAACAATAAAAGCACGGTACATGCCACACACACAATATAAAATGTTAATGCTCTAAGTCTAGTCTGTGCAAAATACTCCAAAATGCAAAATGGCATAATCTTTCAATGCACTCCACATGCTCAACTTGTGGGCCTCTTGCCAAAGACTCCTGCACTACTACAACCACCTGAAACATAGCCTCATAACGCAGGGTGAGATATACAAATATATCTTAGAAATCCAAAGGTTCTGGAGGATCACTCCATCCAATGGTTCACTCAGATGTACAATAACATTAATGAACTATAAACAAGTCATACAAATCATCCAGCCCAATGGCATACGACATACGGGCCCTCATCCAAGAATATGTTCCCGAAACATCATTCAAGGCGCCCCCAACTATAACACCTGAGACATTCCAAGAGTGCTTCTCAACTAATAACATCTCTACATCCCCAGGCCAACTGGAACTCCCTATGGAAGCCTCTCCAGTGGAGGTCCCCTACGACATACGACAACTATCTACTGGCCAGAGATACGGTACAACACTATGTACCCAAAGAATAACACATGCATGATCATGTTATAATTACACTATTGCACCAAACTAAT